CATGTCATGATCGTTGTCACTACGGTAATACATGTTCGGCTTACCCGGATTCTCCATGAGATCCTCGCTGGAAATCGACGATGCCGACTGGGTCGGTTCGAGAGTGCTGTTCATACCGAGAAGAACAGGCTCCTCCGCATCATCTCCATCCGCGTGGAAATGGAGCGATGCAGCTTGGGCGTTGGTGTTCTCGGGCTCACCCGACTTCACCGAGTTTCCATCGTTCTTGTCGCCACGTGACTCCGAATCTGCTGTTCCCTTATTCTCACTCAGGCTTCTTTTCAACTCATCCACCTCATCAGCACCATTGTCTCCCTCATCAATCGTCGCATCGTGCAAGACTTCTGCACGCACATCGAATGATCTAAATGAATTTTCAAATGCCTTCCATTTTGGCGAGTCCAGATGAGGAGGAGAAGGCACGGTTGAACTGATTGTTCCTGTCATATTGGTAGGCGATGGCAGAGTCGGCTCAGGCATATTCACACGAACAGGAGTTGTCCAGCTGGGCGAGTTTGCCGTGAGAAATTCAGTTGCACTGGGAGGTTCCGCCGCTGCCTTCACAATGCAGCTGGGGGAGTTCTCCGTGACCGAAGCTGTCCAGCTGGGTGACTCCGCTGTTACAGACTGAGGGCAAGTTTCAACGACTTCCGAAGGGCTGACACAGCCGCCGCCAATTCCCTGATTTTCCACGTTGCCAGAGCCCGCTGGTAGGATGGGAACCTCTTCTGGTGGTACACGCTGAGCTGCAGGTTCCCCCTGTTCCGAAGTGTATTCAAAATTGTGCACAACAAACATTCCTTTGCTCCCAGTAGTTCGGGCGTGGTAACCATGAGGGCGAGCAAATCGGCTTCTTGCTTTAGGAAGCGGCAGATTCGGATTACTACCACGCTCGAAAACGCAAACGCGTGGATCGGGATTTGAGTGCGTGGGCTTGATAAAAAGGCAAAACCTTTCCTAGAAAAAGATCTACAATTTGTTTGGTGAGAAAAAAACTATCCTGTTCGCACCCGTTCTTCCTGCTCAACACGACCAGGGTAGAGTGGTGCTTCCAGCACAACTCGACGCCCTCTGGACCAGCACGCATACGCGACTAAATTACA